GAGGGGACCTTGATTGTCGTCACGCGGCTCGGATAGAGCAGTCGCGACGCCTGTCACGAATCGGGGGAATCTCACGAATCGCAGGTTGTCGCATCGTATGCACTCCCTTCGCAATGCTGCGTTAGATGCCTAGTACAAAGAAAAACAGAGAGAGAAACTCGCAACGCGCGATCCGTCGCAACGCCGCTACTAGTTGCTGCCGCGCCGCGACGCTTTCCAGGAAATGCGAGAACACTATTCTGCTGCACGACGGCGAACGCGCCGAGGCTATTTCACCTGACACATCCCCTCGCGTCATCATGCGTGCACCGCTTTCTACCGGCAGCAGAAGCTGCGAGATGGCGAGAATGGATCGACGGGAGGTCATAATGGCGATCTTAACGAGCGACGATTTAGGTATATTAAATCAGCGACAGCGCGGAAACGCCACATGAGCGCGTATATAAGCAAACTACTCGCTGCTACTGCTGCTAGGGCGCCTTGTTTTCGAAAACCTAAATTTTCAACTCATGGAAACAAACCTAGTAACAGCGCGACACATAATACTCGATAGGAAACGCTGGCGTTTTAGTTACGCGAATGAACCAATAAGAGTAGCGACTGAGTCGATGCGAAGTGCTACTACTACTACTACTACTACTACTACTACTACTACTACTACTACTACTACTACTACTACTACTACTACTACTACTACTACTACTACTACTACTACTACTACTACTACTACTACTACTACTACTACTACTACTACTACTACTACTACTACTACTACTACTACTACTACTACTACTACTACTACTACTACTACTACTACTACTACTACTACTACTACTACTACTACTACTACTACTACTACTACTACTACTACTACTACTACTACTACTACTACTACTACTACTACTACTACTACTACTACTACTACTACTACTACTACTACTACTACTACTACTACTACTACTACTACTACTACTACTACTACTACTACTACTACTACTACTACTACTACTACTACTACTACTACTACTACTACTACTACTACTACTACTACTACTACTACTACTACTACTACTACTACTACTACTACTACTACTACTACTACTACTACTACTACTACTACTACTACTACTACTACTACTACTACTACTACTACTACTACTACTACTACTACTACTACTACTACTACTACTACTACTACTACTACTACTACTACTACTACTACTACTACTACTACTACTACTACTACTACTACTACTACTACTACTACTACTACTACTACTACTACTACTACTACTACTACTACTACTACTACTACTACTACTACTACTACTACTACTACTACTACTACTACTACTACTACTACTACTACTACTACTACTACTACTACTACTACTACTACTACTACTACTACTACTACTACTACTACTACTACTACTACTACTACTACTACTACTACTACTACTACTACTACTACTACTACTACTACTACTACTACTACTACTACTACTACTACTACTACTACTACTACTACTACTACTACTACTACTACTACTACTACTACTACTACTACTACTACTACTACTACTACTACTACTACTACTACTACTACTACTACTACTACTACTACTACTACTACTACTACTACTACTACTACTACTACTACTACTACTACTACTACTACTACTACTACTACTACTACTACTACTACTACTACTACTACTACTACTACTACTACCTGCTATACTACTACTAATCCTGCTTGCGACTTGCTAGTGCAATTATACTACTACTACTAACGACGGGCTGTGGAGGGTGGGTGGCGGGATAAGGCTGAAGTGAGAGGGTGGATTACTGTAGTGAACATGGAATCGGATCCTGGCGGGCAGCGTTGGCTTGCTCCCTTTGTTCTGTGAACCGATATTTTCCACACGGTTGAGATCGGTGCAACCGCTTTCTACCGTGTCAGCCAAGCGCGCTGAATGGAATGGCGCAGCAGACGGGACACGTGGAATGCGCCTGGGGTTCAACTGCCCACCAAGCACAGCCCTCTGTGAAGCTCGCGCGAACCATCCAGTCTGCGCAGAACAGACAGGACGGCCTCGATCAAGTTTTGGCGTTTCTCATCGACGAGCACTGCAGCAGTACAGCACGAGTGCGGCTGGGTGGGTGGGGTCACAAGTGAGGCGAGAAAAAAACAAACTCACGATTTGCGAATCTGCTTTGTCGACCTGACGTAAGCGCGCGGGGTGCCGGATTAAACAGAGAGCTAAAAGTCACGCTGTTTTCGGGCGTCGGATCTCTTAAAAGGCAATGAGAGTGGCAAAACAAAACTTGTTTTAGCAAAACACCGAGCGAGCTTTCCAGAAAAAAACTGGTGCGAAATACATACACCCTACAGTACGAATTTGCTGGTGCTACTAGTGCTACTACGACGGGCTGGCGAGGGGGTGATGAAGGTGATGTGAGCGGGTGCTTTGGCGGAAGTGTTGTGGTGAAGATGGGTCAGCTCGGGGCGCATTTCCTTGCAGCCTTGGTTTTTGAAACCCAATTTTTAACTCTCGGTTGAGAACGGTTACACTGTTTCAAACAAGTTTTAGCCATTGCGGAGTGAACTTAATTACGCGATAAATACTTCAAGCGGGAAATTGTACCGCGCCCTACATTGTGTTTCAACTGTTTGTGCAGAGTCAAGCTTCAAGCTCAAACAGTTCCTAAGGATTGGGAGAAGAAGCAAGCAGGGTGAGTAGGATTGGGTGGGGGACACTCGCTACAGTACGGGCACACCTGCGTTTCCCAACAGTCGTAAGCGCTCACGCAGCCAACCCAGCCCAAGCGCAAAAACCCATGCCCATTCGTTTTGTTTTTGCAATAGCTGCTGAGCTTGATGCTCGCCTTCCGCCCAGAGAACGAATTAGCAGAAGGGTGGAGTTGGGAAGGGGCCAGATCTCGTGCTTAAAAATGCAAGGGGTGGCGATAAACGACATGGGTTAGCAAAACACCAGACGGCCTATACAGAGTAGCAAAAAACGGGTGCGAAAAAACAAATGAGAGTAGCCAGGGCGAATAAAGAAATACCGCTCAACAAAAAAAACAACTAGAATTCCAGAAGAGAATCCGATGGCAAACAGAAACTGAGCGAGTGGACAAGCCCTACAAAACAGTTGCGCGGGCTAAGGTTAGAAGAAACAGCAATAGACGACAAAAACAAAACAAGGTTGCGACCGAGCAATCATCTTCACTACAAAACAGTTCAGACACAACCGAGCAAGTGGGGGAAGTTGCGCGAGGAGGGGTGATACTGTACAGTAAGAAACTGCAGTTTCGGAATCTGGCTACCTCTCGTTAGCGCGCCAAATCAGACCTGAGGGCAGAGAAAGAAAAGAAACGATAGGCAGACAAAACCACTTGCTTCACTTCGTGTCACAACAAAAGGGGAGTCGAAGAGGAAAACGAGCGAGGTCTTAGCCAAACACCAAAAGAACACTGCGAAGACAGTGGGATAAATAGATGAGCAAGTTTCCCCCAAAAAAGTTACATTGACTAACAGTCGTTTTGCGCGAGGTGAGTTGAGGGTGAGGAGAGACATATTCGCCACGTCTGATTCTGTCCTACCCGTCTTGAGCGAGCCAATTCGCTCGCTTGTTGCACACCCAAAGAACGAACGACACGCAAAGCAACCCAAAACGCCGATTTGCAGCCCCGTACAGTACCCTAGCCTCGGCGTTTTGTAGCTGAATGATTGGCTGCAAACGTTTGATTGGTTTAACAGAGTTCCAATTTGCAGCACAAATGCTCTGTTCGGGAGCCCCGAAACAGAGGATGAAGAATCTGCTCTGTACCGAGCCTGAAGAAGAAAAACGACAACACACAAATTGCAAGATTGTACAGTGTCTCTAGCTGCACAATCAGATTCGCCAGCTGGAGAAAATGACAGGGGTGTGCATAGTCAACGCCCCAATTTGAGCAGAAACGACATCCACCGCAATTCGGGGGTCAAGATGCCAAATCGCAGCTACCATCTCATCGGAACTCTCCTTCACAATTCCCCCGCCATCCCAAAAGCGTATTTTCTCAACCGAAGCAACCCTTGCACCACAAAAAAAACACACCATCTGCGATATAACTCAACACCCTGTTTTGTTTGTACAATGTCTGCCCTGGGTAATCTCGATGATGAAACAGAGATGCCCACCCAATTTTCACAAATGGTGAGCCTCACTTTCTCCTCGCCATTCTCTGGCGAGGAGAAAGTGAGCAAACATTTGCCTGTGATTACTGTGCAGTCAATCGACTGTAGGGGCAGCGCTTCGGAATCTCGAGCCGCTGCAGAGGAGAAGATGAGGTTGAAGGTACCAAGCCGGGAGGTTTGGTCACGAAAGTGGTCGCAAGGGGGTCGCAGGCGATTTTTGGGCTTCCGAGCCTAGTAAAATTCATCCTCTGGATCTGGTTCTGCTCTTCCTCTCTTGCTCCCGAACAGGGCCAAAGGTGTTTCCGTTTGCAGCTGCGGTGACCTTGATTTTGCAGGTCCACAATGCCATCCTGTAAACGTACAATAACATATACATATAAAACAATAGAATAACTTCAGAGAGAGAAAATACAATACAGGGAAGAAAAAAATAGAGAGATAGAGAGAAAAAAAAAACCCTCTTCACTGTGCTCCTCTCATTTTCTCTCTCAGCTTTGCCCCTCTCCTCATTCTCTCTCTCCTCCCTGCTCATCTCCTCATTCTCTCTCCTCTCTGCTCTTCTCATTATTTTCTCTCTCCTCTCTGCCCCTCCTCCTTAATCTCTCTACTACCTGACCCTCTTCTCATTCTCTCTCCTCTCTGCCCCTCTACAAAATTTCTCTCTACTAACTGCCCATCTCCTCATTGACTCTCCTCTCTTCTCCTCCTCCTCATTCTCCTCCTCCTCCTACTCCTCCTCCTCCTCCTCCTCCTCCTCCTCCTCCTCCTCCTCCTCCTCCTCCTCCTCCTCCTCCTCCTCCTACTACTCCTCCTACTCCTCCTCCTCCTCCTCCTCCTCCTCCTCCTCCTCCTCCTCCTCCTCCTCCTCCCCCCCTCCTCCTCCTCCTCCTCCTTCTCCTCCTCCTCCTCCTCCTCCTCCTCCTCCTCCTCCTCCTCCTCCTCCTCCTCCTCCTCCTCCTCCTCCTCCTCCTCCTCCTACTCCTCCTCCTCCTCCTCCTGCTCCTGCTCCTGCTCCTGCTCCTGCTCCCGCTCCTGCTCCTGCTCCTGCTCCTCGTCCTCATCCATGTCGTCCTCCTCCTCCTCCCCGTTCACCTGCTCCACGTCCTCCTCCTCGTCACCTAAACCCTACCCCTCGTCCTCTTCCTCCTCGTCTTCCTCCTCCTCGTCGCCAACCTCCTCCTCGTCGTCCTTCTTCTCCTCGTCTTCCTCCTGCTCCTCCTCGTCCTCCTTCTCGTCTTCCTCCTCCTACTCCTACTCCTCGTCCCCCTCCTCCTCGTCGTCTTCCTCCTCATCGTCGTCGTCGTCCGACCGTCGTCGTCGTCATCGTCCTCCTCCTCCGCCGCCTCTTCATCCTTCCCCTCCTCCTCCTCCTCCTCCTCCTCCTCCTCCTCCTCCTCCTCCTCCTCCTCCTCCTCCTCCTCCTCCTCCTCCTCCTCCTCCTCCTCCTCCTCCTCCTCCTCCTCCTCCTGCTCCTGCTCCTGCTCCCGGTCCTGGTCCTCGTCGTCGTCCTCCTCCTCTTCCCTGTCCTCCTCTTCGTCGTCGTCGCCCTCCTCGTCCTTGTCACACCTGTTCTGTTGCTGCTCGATGGTGATGCTGCTCGATGGCGAGTCAGATGCTCACTACTACCGTTCGCTGCTTGTGCTGGTCCGGTTGTTTCCTACCGCTGCTGAATATTTTCGGTTGCTGCTCGATGGTGAGGCGAATGCTCACTACTACCGTTTGCTGCTTGTGCTCGTGCTGGTGTTTCCTGCTGCTGCTGAATATTTTCCGTTGCTGCTCGATGGTGAGGCGGATGCTCACTACTACCGTTCGTTGCTTGTGCTCGTGCTGGTGTTTCCTACTGCTGCTGAACATTTTCCGTTGCTGCTCGATCGTGAGGCCGATGCTCACTACTACCGTTCGCTGCTTGTGCTCGTGCTGGTGTTTCCTACTGTTGCTTAACATTTTCCGTTGCTGCTCGATGGTGAGGCGGATGCTCACTACTACCGTTCGCTGCTTGTGCTCGTGCTGGTGTTTCCTACTGCTGCTGAAGATTTTCCGTTGCTGCTCGATGGTGAGGCGGATGCTTATTACTACCGTTCGCTACTTGTGCTCGTGCTGGTGTTTCCTACTTATTTTCTGTTGCTTCTCGATGGTCAGGTGGATGCTCACTACTACCGTTCGCTGCTTGTGCTCGTGCAGGTGTTTTTTTATGGCTGCTGAGTATTTTCTGTTGTTGCTCAATTGTGAGGCGGATGCTCACTACTACCGTTCGCTGCTTGTGCCCGTGCTGGTGCTGCTGAACATTTTCCGTTGCTGCTCGATGGTGAGGCGGATGCTCACTACTACCGATCGCTGCTTGTGCTCGTGCTGGTGTTTCCTACTTCTGCTGAATATTTTCTGTTGCTGCTCAATTGTTGCACTTGCAAAGCGGTGCAAAATGGTGAGAACATACATACTATATTACAGCAGCCCTAACTCATAGCAAGTCTTTCAAGATTGCCTGCCCATCAGTTTGAATGCCAATCAATATATGGTGAACATACACGAGATGGATCTTTCATAAACTCTCCTCTGTCCTATTGCCTTCATACCATAGTGTGAGCAAAACATCACGCACCATCGCTTTCGCTCCACGCCCTTCACTTCCACGAATGGATTCACGAAACGTCTTTATAAGTAGTTGAGATGAAACAGAGCACAGTTACCGTGCAAACATATGTCGAGCTTTTTGTCAGGATCAAGTTTTTCTTTCAGGTTGTAAGTACTGTCGTTGCTTCGATGGTCTTACGGTACCCTCGCACGAGAAACCAATCCAAACCATAATCAGTTGAATATTGTTGACAAACAACCCAGCCTATATAGCCCAGACATGGTGATGTTATGCTGAGCTAATGAGACCAAAATACATACGATAGGAAGATCCATGTTGATCATACTCCAAAGTTTCTGCACAAAAGTTTTCACTAGGAAACTATCTGACCCTCGAAAGGTTTTACAGAGCACTGAATGATGACGAGTAGTGGTGTCGCTTCACTACGCGGTGTCTAGACTGTTGACAGTTTGTTGCACATATCTCAAAGGTCGGCAAATCTGCACTGTGCGGTGTGTTTTACATACACTGGCCTTTTTTTATTCGTTAAGCGTAGTTTGCTGGGCTGGTTATTACAAAGTTCAAAACTAGCACACAAGAACACACTGCCATTGCTGCTGCTACAGATTCTGCCGCTGCTGCTGCCGTAGAGGCCGACGATGCTTGTGCCAATTAGCAGTTTTTTGCTGCAACTCTTCCATTCGCTGGTTTCCCCATGCCGCTGTTGCTGCGGCGGCTGGTGCTGTCTCCTGCTGCTGGTGGATGCTGGTGTGTTCTCCGCTGCTGCTGCTGCTGCTACTAAAGGGGGAGGGGGAGGGGAGGGAGGGGAGGGTGGGGGTCAAGAAACGGCAGGGATGGAGAGGGGAGGGAGGGCAGAGAGAGAACTCTTCTCGTCTTCCCCTGCCAATTGCCGAAGGTGCCAACAACCCCCTCCAGCCCACCCTACCTCGCTTTGCACCTCCCAGCCCCAAGATCCCCCATCGACAGGCCTTGTGCCGTCCCTCCTCTCTTCTCACCTGATTCCCTCCTCTCTCCTCACCTGATTCCCTCCTCTCTCCTCACCTGCTCCCCTCCTCTCTCCTCACCTGATTCCCTCCTCTCTCCTCACCTGCTCCCCTCCTCTCTCTTCATCTGCTCCCCTCCTCTCTCCTCATCTGCTCCCCTCCTCTCTCCTCACCTGCTCCCCTCCTCTCTCCTCACCTGCTCCCCTCCTCTCTCATCACCTGCTCCCCTCCTCTCTCCTCACCTGCTCCCCTCCTCTCTCCTCACCTGCTCGCCCCTCTATTCTCACCTTTTCACCCCTCTCTCCACCTGCTCCCCCCCTGTCTTCTCACCTGCTCCCCTCCTGTCTCCTCACCTGCTCCCCTCCTCTCCTCACCTGCTCCCCTCCTGTCTTCTCACCTGCTCCCCTCCTCTCCTCACCTGCTCCCCTCCTCCCCCCTCACCTACTCGCTCCTCTCTCCTCACCTGCTCGTCCCACTGTTGTTCCTCCGCTTCTCCTTCACATTTTGATGCGTCTGCTCTCTTCTCCTGCCGTGTCTCCTGCTTTCACCTGCTGCGTCTCCTGTTGAGTGTTGCTGATCTGCTGCTCATGGCAGGGCGGACGGCAGCACGTGAGAAGGGGAGCATAGATTGTCACAAGGAGAGCACATGAGACCAGGGAGATGAGAGCAGTGCGATAGGAGCAGGGCGATGGGAGCGGGGAGATCTGAATTCAGACCACTCGCCTCACTCACGTCAGCCGCCGCCTCACCTGCCGCGCACCTCCTCCCTCACCGGTCGTCACGCCACGTGGCACGGCCCGCGTCGGACACACGCGGAAATGCCTCGCCGCATCTGGCGCTGCCGCGGCCTTAGTGACCGCGCCGCCACCGGCGCCTCGCCATCATCGCGCCCTGCCCTGATGCTGCCGCCGCGGACTGGCTTTGATGCTGATGCTACTACGAATTGGCATTTTGTCCGCCCTGCTGCCATGCGCCCGCCTGCCGCGTCACATGGCATGATGCGCAACGATGATAACGTTGATCATACTAGGCGATGATGTAACAAAAAGAGAAAAACGAAATTAGGGCGTGTAGATTCCGCGATGTTGTCACGGTGAAATTTCTAGGGTTTGTCACGGGGTCTGATCAGGCAATTCGCCCACAGCGCGGCTAGTCACGATGAATCGCTTGCGGCTGCGGCTAAGTAATAATGTGCGAGGAGACCGGCGGCGCGAGCGAGCGGAGGAGCAGCGATGCATGGCGGAAGGATGGCGCAGCGGGGTTCTATTGAACGCAGGGCGCCGCATCATCGTGCAACGCGGCAGTGACTCGCTACTGCTAATACTTCTACTGTCTCTAGATCATCTAGATTGTCTTATTCTATGATAAAATAATAATCTCTACTCGCCGGATGTAGCACGATTGGATCGCCAGAGCATGCCGTGTGCCTCTATGGTTTTCGTTGATGGATTGATCGGGGAAGGTAAGTACTAGATAACCGACCTGGTGCAGCGCTAGTCGCGGGTAGCGTGCACTAGGAAATAGACTCCTTGTTAGCCTGGCTCGGTTGCCTCGACCAGCCAATTTAGAATTTGGAAACGCTTCGGTTAAGTGCGGTTCGTTTCTAGCCCATCTCGGTAATGCCACTGAAAGGTTCATTCGACTGCCACCGTCAGCTAGCAGTCGAACCACGCAAGCACTCGTCGGATTAGGATCTTGCTGGGGAGGTACGCTTCGTTACAGCACGGTAAAGGGACAGGTTTGTGAATTGTGTTCGCTTCCAGAGTCCAGCATTCTTGGAGCGCTGGAACACTCATCCTTCAGCGCGCCAAGGGTTGTATTATTTTCCGTGATTGCGTTTCAGAGTAGGGGCCAGGATCGAGCCACGTCGGTGGTGAAAAATTTACACCAACGTATATGAACCGTCCCAGACATCGGGCACAGAGGTGCGATGGGAGCGAAACCTGTAAACGTCAAGCACCAATTGTCAACGCTGCAAAGGAATCTGGGCGCACGTGCGACACTGTTGATTGACGGTTTTCAGTTGACAGAATCGTCACCCCTCGTCTCGTACGAAACAACCGTGGGCCATGGGAAATTGCATCGCATCGCAACCCGATCTTGAACCTGCGAGTCCACGTGGTGCTGACGAACCATGGAGCAGTACCAGCAACACATTTAATTCTGCCGCATTATGAAACAAAAGAACAAGTACACTGTCTAAATTAATCAAACACATGTCATAACACAGATAAAATGGATAAATAAGGAGTGAAGCATATAAAATACCACAGAAGCATGTAAATCACATTGGGCCTAATACATAAGAGGCATTGAATCTGATGAATTACAGGTTAAATTGGTTTATAAACTCGAATAATATAGTTATATAAATTCCATAGGACCAGTTAAAGCCCGAGGTCAGCATGGTAAAATATCAAGTTATGTGGGTTTGAAATAGTGTTGGCGAAACCTTGAAAACAATAATTTCGGCAAAGTCAGTGTAGCGAGAAAGAGATGGGTTGACGAGGGGGAAAGGGGTCTCGCCAAACGTGACGCGATGGTGAACGATACTGTGCAGCTTTGCAAAGCAAATAACTGCGACTGGAATGAGTGTCGCTAGGATTGTTCTTCAGCCAATCAGGTTGAAGTAGGGGAGAATGTCATCGCACAATCCAACTACCAGCAAAAACGAAAACGGAAAGCACCAACCACCTCAGAAGAAAACACCACGATAAAACAAGCTACCGTAACCACTTCATGTGTGAAATAACCGCAGTAGCTAACATCAACAGAAAGTTCTATCGTAGGTGACGTGCCAGAACATGTACATGCGCGGTCGATGGAAGGAGCGTTGATAAGAGCGTGAAACAGCACGATATGGGAGTACGTAGGCGACTCGACACGGGGACTGCGGAAGGCGGAGAGGGAGGGGAGAGGCGGAAGAAAGACAGCGTCGGCGGGGGAAATCGGTTCTGATCGCGCGATGGGAGAGGTGTCCGCTGGCGCAACTTGCGGCAGACGCAACGCCAGACGGCGGAGGAGAGGAGGAGCAGATACTGGGGGTGGAAGGGGGAAAAGGGGGGAAAGAAAATCGGGGGCTTGGCGCGCGACAGGAGAGATGGTCCGCTTGTGACGTGATCTGCGGCAGGCGCATTGGCGCGCTGCCGCTCCTCATTGCGCAGGCGTGCACTGCTCACGGACAGAGCGGAATAAGGCGCGGAAGGGGATACGCGCGGAAGGGGATAACGCGCGGAAGGGGATGAGGCGCAGAAGGGGATGAGGCGCGGAAGGGGATGACGAGGAAGGGGATGAGGCGCGAATTCCCCTGATTCCCCTCCTACCCCCCTTCCTTCGCCACCGTTCCACCCTTGCTTCCCCTCCTTTTCCCCCCCTGCTCCCCCTCCTTTCCCCCCTTGCTTCCCCTCCTTTTCCCCCCCTGCTCCCCCTCCTTTCCCCCCTTTCTTCCCCTCCTTTTCCCCCCTGCTTCCCCTCCTTTCCACCCCTGCTTCCCCTCCTTTCCCCCCTGATTCCCCTCCTTTCCCCCCTTCCTTCGCCTCCTTTCCCCTCTTGCTTCCCCTCCTTCCCCCCCCTGCTTCCCGTCCTTTGCCCCCTTGCTTCCCCTCCTTTCCCTCCCTGCTCCCCCTCCTTTCCCCCCTTGCTTGCCCTCCTTTCCCCCCCTGCTCCCCCTCCTTTCCCCCCTTGCTTCCCCTCCTTTCCCCCCTTCCTTCGCCTCCTTTCCCCTCTTGCTTCCCCTCCTTCCCCCCCCTGCTTCCCGTCCTTTGCCCCCTTGCTTCCCCTCCTTTCCCTCCCTGCTCCCCCTCCTTTCTCCCTCTCCTCTCCTACATTTCCCCCCGCTGCTTGCCGCTTTTCCTCTCCTCCCTCCCCTCTCCTCCCTCGTCCAATCTCCTCCCCTCCCTCTCCCATCTTCCCTATCCCCCCGAATCCTTCTCTCACCTTTTCTCCTCCACTCCCTCTTCCTATCTCCTCTTCCTCTTCCCCTCTCCTATCCCCTCGTTTACCATGCTAGCCCCTTGTTCCCCCCCTCGTCCACTCTCCTCACTTGCACCCTTCCTCTCTTCCGCACTTCCCCCTTTCCTCTCTGTCCCGCCTTTCCTCCCTGCTTCCCCTCATTTCCTCCCTGCTTCCCCTCATTTCCCCCGCTGCTGCCACTCATTTCCCTCCCTGCTTCACCTCATTTCCCTCCCCGCTTTCCCTGTTTGTACCCTCCTGCTTCCCCTCATTTCCCCCCCTGCTTCCCCTCATTCTCCCCCCCACCTCCCCTCATTTCCCCCGCTGCTGCCCCTCATTTCCCTCCCTGCTTCTCATCATTTCCCTCCCTGCTTCTCATCATTTCCTTCCCTGCTTTCCCTGTTTGTACCTGCTTCCCCTCATTTCCCCCCTGCTTCCCCAGATTTCCACCCCTGCTTCTCCTCAATTCCCCCTCTGCTTCCCAGGAATTCCCAATCTGTTTCCCCTCGTTTCCCCCCCTGCTTCCCCTCGTTCTCCCCTCTTCTTCCCCTCGTCTCATCTTCCTATATCTCGCTTTCCCTCTCCCCCTCTCCCATATCTCCGATATCTCCCCTGTTTGACCTTTTTCTTGTTCCCCCTCCCAATCCCTCGTATTGTCTCCCTCTCCCTCGCTATTGCAGTGACTACACTGAAGATTTTTCTGATACTGCAACTCGCCTCAGCCCATCATCCCATGCCATGCTCGTAGAGAAACCAGTTCCCGTCATGTTTTTTTCAGGGCCTTGAGAAAGGTACAATCAATAGTATGAGGAACATGCCTCTATGTACTCTTTAGGCACTCTTAGTGTCTATGCATCTTGGAAGATTATATTGCACTGCAGAAACAAAAGTACATATTGTGCGTTTGGGATGGGTATCTCCAACAGTATTCTCATCTCATGCTTGCATGCAACACACAAGAAACAGGCGGCGGTGGTACGGTGTAAAGCATTGACTAGCTGTGCCTCATCTTGCTCCTCTGCTTCACCACTGAAATTTAGGGGAGGGGAGTGGAGTAGGCTGAAAGAATTGTGTGAAGAAACATGGGGGAGGTGGTGTCCCCTGCAAGGGAACAACTGCAAGGGGATACAAGCAAGCGCACATGATGAAAGCATGTATGGGGAGACAGTGATGGGTGCACATGCATGGGAACTAGAGGGCGGAAGGTGAGGAGTGAGGGGGAAGGGGAGGGCATGAAAAGGAAGGGAAGGGTTGAGAAGGGATGGGGAAGGGAAGGGCAGGGCAGGGAGGGAAAGGCAGGGAATGGGAGGGCAGGTGGGAACGGGGCAGAGGGTGGGGGAAAGGAGGGCTGAGGGTGGTGGGAAGGAGAGTGAGAGTGCGAGAGGACTGAGAGAGAGAGAGTGTGTGGGAGGAAGGAGAGTGGGAATGTGGGAGGAAGGAGAGAGAGAGTGCGAGTGCAAGGAGAGAGAGAGAGTGCGGGAGAAGGCGCGGGGGAGGAATGGAAGCGAGGGAAGGAATGTGAGAAGGTGGGAAGGAATGAGAGGGTGGGAAGGAAAGAGAGAGGGTGGCAAGAAATGAGTTAGGGTGGTAAGGAATGAGAGAATGAGGGAAGGAATGAGAGAGGGTGGGAAGGAAAGAGAGAGGGTGGGAAGAAATGTGTCAGGGTGGTAAGGAATGAGAGAATGAGGGAAGGAATGAGAGAGGATGGGAAGGAATGAGAGAGGGTTTAGTAGAAATGAGAAGGGTGGGAAGGAATGAGGGAAGGTGCGAAGGAATGAGAGATGGCGGCAGAACGGAATGGGGGAGGGCGGGCGGGACAGAATGAGAAAGGCTGGCCGACGTGCAGCGCCCGCACTTGCGACGTGCATTTTTTCAACGAGCGAGGGTGATGAGCATAGGAAATAGGAACGAAGGGAAGCAGGGAAGGGGATGGGGGGAAGCAGGGAAGGGGATGAGGGGAAGCAGGGAAGGGGATGAGGGGAAGCAGGGAAGGGGATGGGGGGAAGCAGGGAAGGGGATGAGGGGAAGCAGGGAAGGGGATGAGGGGAAGCAGGGAAGGGGATGGGGGGAAGAAGGGAAGGGGATGAGGGGAAGCAGGGAAGGGGATGAGGGGAAGCAGGGAAGGGGATGAGGGGAAGCAGGGAAGGGGATGAGGGGAAGCAGGGAAGGGGATGGGGGGAAGCAGGGAAGGGGATGAGGGGAAGCAGGGAAGGGGATGGGGGGAAGCAGGGAAGGGGATGAGGGGAAGCAGGGAAGGGGATGAGGGGAAGCAGGGAAGGGGATGAGGGGAAGCAGGGAAGGGGATGGGGGGAAGCAGGGAAGGGGATGAGGGGAAGCAGGGAAGGGGATGAGGGGAAGCAGGGAAGGGGATGAGGGGAAGCAGGGAAGGGGATGAGGGGAAGCAGGGAAGGGGATGGGGGGAAGCAGGGAAGGGGATGAGGGGAAGCAGGGAAGGGGATGAGGGGAAGCAGGGAAGGGGATGGGGGGAAGCAGGGAAGGGGATGAGGGGAAGCAGGGAAGGGGATGGGGGGAAGCAGGGAAGGGGATGAGGGGAAGCAGGGAAGGGGATGAGGGGAAGCAGGGAAGGGGATGAGGGGAAGCAGGGAAGGGGATGGGGGGAAGCAGGGAAGGGGATGGGGGGAAGCAGGGAAGGGGATGAGGGGAAGCAGGGAAGGGGATGAGGGGAAGCAGGGAAGGGGATGAGGGGAAGCAGGGAAGGGGATGAGGGGAAGCAGGGAAGGGGATGGGGGGAAGCAGGGAAGGGGATGAGGGGAAGCAGGGAAGGGGATGAGGGGAAGCAGGGAAGGGGATGAGGGGAAGCAGGGAAGGGGATGAGGGGAAGCAGGGAAGGGGATGAGGGGAAGCAGGGAAGGGGATGGGGGGAAGCAGGGAAGGGGATGGGGGGAAGCAGGGAAGGGGATGGGGGGGAGCAGGGAAGGGGATGAGGGGAAGCAGGGAAGGGGATGGGGGGAAGCAGGGCGGAAGGAGGGGGGAAGCAGGGCGGAGGATTCCTCTCACCCTCTGTCCCTCACTCTCTGCCCCTCCCCCTCTGTTCCTCCCCTCCGTCCTTCCCCTTCTGTCTCTCCCCCTCTGCCCTTCACTATCTGACTCTCACTCTCTGCCCCTCCCCCTCTGTTCCTCCCCCTCCGTCCTTCCCCTGTGTCTCTCCCCCTTTGTCCTTCCCCCTCTGTGTCTCCCCTTCTGTCCTCCCCCCTCTCCCCCTTGTCCTTCCCCTTCTGTCCGTGGGAAGGAAGGAGCGAGAGAGAGGATGGGAAGGAAGGAGGAAGCGCGAGAGATATATATATATATATATAGAGAGAGAGAGAGAGAGAGAGAGAGAGAGAGAGAGAGAGAGAGAGAGAGAGAGAGAGAGAGAGAGAGAGAGATAGAGATAGAGATAGAGAGAGAGTGAGAGAGAGAGAGGGAGGGAGAGGGAGAAAGAGAGGGAGGGAGTGAGGGAAGAGAGGGAGAGGGAGAGGGGGACAGAGGAACAAAGGTCACGAGCAAGATAGGGAGGGACGGAGGGAGAGAAAAGAGAGGGGAGAGGGAGAGATGGAGGGAGGAAGAGAGGGAGGGCGGACGGAGGTTGGTTATTGGGGGGGAATCGTATATGGAGGGGATTACGACGGGTATGGGGAAGCACGCACGAAATAAAGAGGCGGGGGCGACTAGGAGAACGCGAGCGAGATAAAGAGGCGGGGGCGACGAGGAGAACGCGAGCGAAATAAATAGGCGGGGGCGTTGAGAAACACGCGCCCAGAAAAAGGCGGGGGCATCGAGGAGAAGCGCGTGCAACGAGGGGTTGGATTGGGGATGCTTGAGTCGTTTCACTTTCCGACGCTGTGGGTCGCTTTCTAGAACACGCGACGAGGGGAAGCGAGTGTTGAGTAAGGAAGCGGGTGTGACGCGGGGCAGCGCGGGCGACGTAGGGAAGCGCGGGACGGTGGGGAGCGCGGGCGACGAAGGGAAGCGCGGGTGACTACGGGAAGATAGCGTGACCCGAGCAAGTGTGGGCGACGTGAAAAAACGCGCGCAACGCTCGACGGCGAATCTAACTTGTTTAACCCACCCACCACGCATTCCTATAACGGGCAAGTGTAGCAACCCATGCCATTTACCTACATTTGTGTGTCGTGCGCTAGTACGGACGTTTCGTGTCTGGCCAGCGAAAATGGTACGGAACGCGTGTTTGGCTAGAAGACCTGCTGCTCAGCTATTGGCAAGACTGCGTGTGTGAGTAGTGTTGTTCAACAAAAAACGCCTCAACCTGAGCTAGCCTTTATCGCCCTGCCGGGCGTTTACTAGTTACGTGAGTCTCCTAGTGAACTAGGAGTACTACTTGGTCTTCAAGATATGTGAGAGGAGATTGGGGCAACCGAGTGGGCGATGGTCGGATCTGTTGTACGACTGGGCTCATAAACCAATCAGGATGACCGTCGCAAGAGTTTTTCCCGGCCTCGCGAGTTGTGTTTCAAACCAAAGCGGGTAACCCTGTTTTTGGCGACTTCAAGTTCAAGAATCTTGAACTTGAAAAATACCATGCTGTACTCGGGCTTTAATGCAGTAAGAAATATTACGTAAGTATAAATATTATTATTGGAAAATAGTCTGATTGCTTTAGATGATAGCATGTCTGTTTATGTCGAAAATACTAAGTTGTAATCTGTAAATGCAGCAGCCGAACCGTAAGTCAGGATGGCTGTAAGTCGAAGCGCATGAACTGGAGTGCGCTGTAAAAAAGAATATAGGCACACCTCTTTTTGATGTGATTGGTCCTCTTTGGCGCTGCTTGACTAAACCCACCCGACTCCAATGCTAGAGCCGGGTAGGTTTGCAGCTGCGCTTCGAAGTTGTTTGTAATTTTTGTTTTTTTCAGAAGGGTTGCACTTGACTGTTCCCACCCACATATTTGATTAAATGTGGGCGTGGTGGGCTCGAGTTTCCATTTCGAAATGTCGCTGAATTTGTGCTTCCGTTTTGTTTCTTCCTGCCCAACTTGTTACAAAACGTTTTGTGGGCGGGGTGGGTCCAACTGTACTGTAAAATGTGCTTTTAAACACGTGGATGAGCCCATTACCTGTAGCATTCAGGCATCGCCCAGGTTCATCTTGTTTGTGGTTCTACTCAAGGCTTCGGTTCCCAACAGTTTCATTTTTGTTTCGTTCAGCCCGCAAGCCTTCATTCTTTTTGGGTAGGACGACAACGAGGTATATTATTTCCCGTTTTTGTTGTAAACCAGCGTAAAGTTTCTAGTTCTGTGTTGTTTTGTTTCTTTCCAGTTTCTGCCCCCGTCCCGATGTTTTGGTAGTTGGAGTGGATGGCGGGTCGCCTTTACCTTTACCCCTCGTCTGCTCCAACTCTCTGCTCCAACCCCACCCACCCTCCTCCACCTCGCTCCTCTCACGGCTGTTTCCCCTCCACTCAACCACCTCCCTCCCAAGTCCCAAATACCTCGTTTTCTTATTGTCAGTCTTGGGTCTCAAAAATTTCGATAGTGAAGCTGTTGTTCGTGAGTTTGCGCCCTACTTTTGTTATTTGAAGTTGTCATTTCGCTGTTTCTTGTTTTATTCATCGCCTGCAGTTGTCCCTCAGACAAGTCTAGAGACGACTGCCGCAGAGACGAGTGCAAAGACTGCGTTTCTTCTCTCACCAGGCGCCTTTGGCTTATTTCTATCTCTTAGCGGGTACCTGCTGCTTCACTGAGATCGGAATTTTCAGTCGACTTAAAAATCAACACTCTCAGCAGGCGCCTTGGCCTTCTTAGCTCGTAGCGGCCCGTGCTTGCTGCTTCACTGCCTCGAGGCCAAACGTGGCCCGCAACGAGAAGAGGCGGTGACGAGAGGCATGCCGCGTGCAGCAGCAGCGCAAACACGACGCCCCCCCGAGAATAAGCCATTCTCGCGATCGTGAGGTGAAAGCACCGTGGGAGCAGGAGGGTGTGTCAGCGTAAAGAGAGAAATTCCCGGAGGCTCTTGGAGTTTCTTTCAGGGAGAAGTGAGCAGCACAGGTCAGCTGCTCCGCACCACTCTGCACCGCACCTCCTTCCCATCCCACGCCGTGATCTCCCGCCCTCTTCGCGCCTCCCACCTTCTCACTGCTCCGCTGCATGCACCTCTCTTCATTCATCATTCTCCTTTCGCCCCCGTTCTCTTTCCGACGTTCTCCTTCCCCGTTTTCGCACCCAGTATTCTCAACCGCGTGATTCTACACCACACGCGGCGCGTGGTTTCTAGACGCACGGAAGATTCCGCGCATACAGTACTGTAGCTGCATCGCGCGGATTCATTCCGTGGCGGAAAGGAAGCTGTGGCCGACCCCAACCCAGCGTTCGAACGTTGCGTGTACAGCCGCACAATACAAGCGTGAGGCACGATGTGCTCAGCTGCTGCGCACCGTTGAACGGTGGTGGCGGCGGAGATCGCGGCGACCTGGCTGCGCCGCATCGGCATCACCGCCACCACGCCCTGGCGCGTCAAGCTTCGGGGGAGAGGGGGAGCAAGCGCAGGAGCAAGCAATTCGCCTTCCCTGCGCTGCAGGCGTGGCGAGTTGCCCTTTTCCGCGCCCCAGGCACGGGCTAGTGCCCTTTCCGCGCTGATTTCCGACTTTTCCTGCCTTTTTTCGCCGTTTCCCGCCCATGGTTTCCCATGGTTTCCCTTCCCGCGGTTTCCTGCCGTTTCCCGCGGTCAACCCAATCCGCTCCCCTTCCCGCGCCTCCACTCCTTCATGCTCGGATTCGCGCTGCAGGCGGGGCGATGTGCTCGTTCCGCGCTGCAGGCGGGGCGAGTTGCTTCTTTCCGCGCTGATTCCCGCCATTTTCTGCCCTTTCCCGCCGTTTCCCGCTCTTTCCCATGGTTTCCCTTCCCGCGGTTTCCCGCCGTTTCCCGCCGTTTCCCGCGGTCAACCTTAACCCTGCGGAGAACGGCGCGTCGCGCGCTGGTGGAACCCCCCTCCAGTTGCGCCCCCCAAGCTCCGTGCCCCTCTTCCCCATCCCCCCCATCCCCCACCCCCCTCCAGTTGTACGAAGAACGTACCACCGTGGCGCCGCCGCCCGCCTCTCAGCCAATCACGGAAGGCCATGTGGCGGGGCAGGTGGGCAACGGCGCGGCGAGGAGAGAGGCACGAGGTGAGAGCATGACGAGGTGTCACCTCCTGTACTCCCCTCTCCTCGCCTCGTCCATCCCCCGTACTCATCTCCTCTCCTCCTCTCTTCTCACCTCCTGTCCACCCCTCTTCTCACCTCCCCTGTCCCCCGTACTCACCTCCTAAACGCGCTTGTTTTGTGCCCTCGTTATTCCCTCCCCCCCTGACATCCTTAATCCCCCCTCGCCTGCTCTTCCCCCCCAATCACCTCCTCTCTCACCCTCCACCCTCCCAGCCCAGAGGCGGCTGAGGTCTGCCTGACTTGGCCTCGACGTCCGGATGAGGTTCGGCTCTGGTGTGGATGAGGCATGGCCAGTGCACAAGGTACGTTGCTTGCGTTGCGTGGTGAGAGGGAGGCGAGGGAGATTGCTTCCACTCTCGCCACCTCTGCTCCCCACACTCACCATCCCCCACTTAACACCACTATTCACCTTCCGTCCCCCACCGCTCCCCTCTATTCACCTTTCCCCACTGCTCCCTTCCACTCACCTCTGCTCCCCCCCTCCACTCACCTCTGCTCCCCTGCACTCACCTCTGCTCCCCTGCACTCACCTCTGCTCCCCTGCACTCACCTCTGCTCCCCTCCACTCACCTCTGCTCCCCTCCACTCACCTCTGCTCCCCTCCACTCACCTCTGCTCCCCTCCACTCACCTCTGCTCCCCTCCACTCACCTCTGCTCCCCTCCACTCACCTCTGCCTTCATTTATTACTCTTATGATGTTCTAGCATGCATGATAACTGCTGAACTTAGTTCATTGGTAGGATTTGTTTAGCTAGGATTGTAGGACTTGATATGTGTGCTTGTGTATGCATGCAAACTATATAGCCATGCCCTGGCCTGGTCTGGTTTGGCCAGGCCTGGGGAGCTCGGGCCCATGGGGTTTCAGCCGGGTCCCTGTTCCAGCAGCCAGCCGCCCGGTTACTGTTCCAGCCGCCCGGTTACTGTTCCAGCCGCCCGGTTACTGTTCCAGCCGCCCGGTTACTGTACCAGCCGCCCGGTTACTGTTCCTGCTGCCCAGTTACTGTTCCTGCTGCTCAGTCACTGTTCGAGCCGCCCAGTTACTGTTCCTGCTGTCCAATTACTCTTCCAGCAGCCCAGTTACTGTTCCTGCTGCCCGGTTACTATTGCTGCCGCCCGGTTACTGTCCCAGCCGCCCGGTTACTGTCCCAGCCGCCCGGTTACTGTTCCAGCCGCCCAGTTACTGTCCCAACCGCCCGGTTACTGTTCCAGCCGCCCGGTTACGGTTTCCGCTGCCTGGTTACTGTTCCAGCCGCCCGGTTCCTGTTCCAGCCGCCCGGTTCCCGTTTCAGCCCTTCGGTGTGTAAGGTTCAACAGAAACCGAAAACAGGAGCGAAAACAGGAATGTAAAAACAGGAAATCGGAAACAGAAACGTAGGAACACATCTCGCATGTTGCTGGGGCCATGCCATGGAAGGGGGGGACCATGCCATGCCAGGGATAGGGGGGGGGGCATGCCATGCCAGGGATAGGGGGGGGACCATGTCATGCCAGGGATAGGGGGCGGACCATGCCATGCCAGGGATAGGGGGCGGACCATGCCATGCCAGGGATAGGGGGCGGACCATGCCATGCCAGGGATAGGGGGCGGACCATGCCATGCCAGGGATAGGGGGCGGACCATGCCATGCCAGGGATAGGGGGGGGACCATGCCATGCCAGGGATAGGGGGCGGACCATGCCATGCCAGGGATAGGGGGCGGACCATGCCATGCCAGGGATAGGGGGCGGACCATGCCATGCCAGGGATAGGGGGGGGGGACCATGCCATGCCAGGGATAGGGGGGGCGGGCTGGGGGGCTGGGAGGGGGTGTGAGGAGGAGTGGGGGGTAGGGGGGCCTTAGGGGGGCCTTAGGGGGGGGCGTGGGGGGGTTTCTTCTCCCCTCTCGTTATTGTCACTCCCTTTATTGTCCACACTCTGCGTTATAGTGCCACATTTTGCTCTTGTATTGTACTGTACCGTTTATTATTATTACATCTTCTGTTTCCTTCTCTCTTGTACAAGTGCAAAAGGAGAATTACTACTGTGGGTCAATCCCTAGCGGCCTGTGTTTGTTGTGTGTAACTTGTCCTTCCAGTGATTGTATTTTGCACCTGGAGATTGGAAGAAAAGTAAACATATTCGACTGCCAGGGACACAAAAGATGGGCGGTTTCTGTTTTCTCTCCGCTTTTAGAACAGACATACTAAGGGCGTATTCCTATCCTCCTATCAAGAAAACCTCCTATCAAGCTCTCACTGGAAAATTCCCTAAACCCAAAATCTCTCGCTACTTTTACCAGGCAAAAGGTACAATCTTGATAGGAGGTTTCTTGATAGGAGGCCGTAGGAATACGCCCTAAAAGTCTCCAGCCCCCTTGTGAGCCACACATGCACATTCTACAAGAACCACATACTAAAAAGTCGCCTCGTTTATACCAGTCTGCATGCCAGCTCAGCAATGGCCAAGCCGTACAGCTGGGCAGGGTTGTAGCGCAGGATGACGTGGAAGTTGTGGCACGCCAGGTAAGCAACGCCAGCTGGACCATCAGGTGCGATCTGGGGGAGGTGGGGTGGGATAGATGGACGACAGTTGGAGGAGGAGCAACCAGAAAGGGAGAAGTGAAGTGAGCAATGGGCTGTGCAAGGTAGGGAGCAGGCATGTCCCAAGGGAACCAGTGAAAAACATGGAGTGTGCACAGGACTAGAGATTTTTTCTTGAGACGCAGCCATTCTTGAGACGAGTCGATGAGCAGTGCCTAAAGTATCAGTGGGGGTAGAGAAGGAGCAAGCAGCAATTAAGGAGCAGCGCAGCAGGGTGAACGAATATATAGGATACACGAGAAGAAAAAGGTTGGAAATGCATTGGCAAACGAAAAGAGGGTGCAGTGAGAGGCATACGAGATTGGCGACCATGTCAGGCGGCAGATTCGTGGCAGCACTTTCACTGCCTCCGCCCCTTTCATCCCTTCCATCGCTTTCATTGCCTTCATTGCTTCCACTATTTTGAACGTTTCGACCAGCAATTCTGACTCCGTGATTCTGCTGCCACTCCGCCACGGTGAGTTTCACGGCGGGCTTTAAGAGCGAGGGCGGGAAGTCGGGGGGGAGGACCACCTGATGGGGTGAACGAGGGGGTGGGGAGATTCGCTCAATCAGTAAGGACAATTTCCAACTTCCTGCTGTCATGAGAGAAGCATGAGAGGGACATGAGAGAAGCATGAGAACCAGAGAGCTTGCCTCTTACTCCAACCCCCACCAGCTATCCCTGGCACCATCGGTTGCACGTGAGGCAGTTTGCCATTGATGCTAGTGCGTGCCATGTAACACAGTAACACAGGAACACACTGGCTCTTGAAGAAACACATAAACTGCCGCTTCGCTCACCTCAACCCCCACTGGTTCTCCTCGTCTCCACCGGTTGCACTTGAGGTAGTTTGCCATTGATGCTAGTGTGTGCCGGTAACGCGGTAAAACAGTAAGCCTTGCTCACCTCCACGCCCACCGGCTCCCCCCGTTTCCACCGGTTGCACTTGAGGTAGTTCGCCATAGATGCGAGCACGCATGAGAAGCATGAGGAGCATGGGAGCCATGCCGTGCCACCCCATTATCTGTCTTCAGCACTCGTCCTTTGCTCACCTCAACCCCCACCGGTTCCCCTCGTCGCCACCGGTTGCACTTGAGGTAGTTCGCCATTGATGCGAGCACGCATGAGAAGCATGAGGAGCATGGGAGCCATGCCGTGCCACCCCATTATCTGTCTTCAGCACTCGTCCTTTGCTCACCTCAACCCCCACCGGTTCCCCTCGTCGCCACCGGTTGCACTTGAGGTAGTTCGCCATTGATGCGAGCACGCATGAGAAGCATGAGGAGCATGGGAGCCATGCCGTGCCACCCCATTATCTGTCTTCAGCACTCGTCCTTTGCTCACCTCAACCCCCACCGGTTCCCCTCGTCGCCACCGGTTGCACTTGAGGTAGTTTGCCATTGATGCGAGCACGTCGGGAACAGATGTCCAGATGTCTGCATGCGAAGTGGGGAGGGGAGAAGGGAAAAAGAGAGGCACGAGGGCGACACAAGAAGACAGAACTACATGAGAGGGTTGGGAGGTTGAGTGGAGGGGAAGGGGAGGGGTGAGAGAACATAGGGATGACAGAAATCGAGAAAAGGAGAAATCAAGCGCCTATACAATCCCAGCAGCTGCGTTCATTTGCTACTCACCTCTCATCTCATCTCCATCATAGTCCACAGAATAAGCCTTGAAAGATGAAGGCATGAACTGGCACTGCCCCATCGCCCCTGACGCCAAAGCATGGTGTGAGTATGTGTTACAGTCACACACTCACCTCTCCTCCCGTCTCCATCATAGTCCACCGCATACGCCTTGAAGGACGAAGGCATGAACTGGCACTGCCCCATGGCCCCTGCATACGACCCCAGCAACTGTTCCCTACTCTCACCCACTCTGATTGCAGCTGCACACCCTAGTGATAGTGCAAGCAATTGTTACAGTCACGCACTCACCTCTCCTCCCATCGCCATCGTAATCCACAGCATAGGCCTTGGCATGAACTGGCACTGCCCCATGGCCCCTGCATACGACCCCAGCAGCGGCACCCTCCTCTCTCCCGTTGCCTTGAGAATACACCATAGAAATGTTGAAATTGAGGGCAACAGTCAAACTCTTACCTCTCCGCCCATCTCCATCGTAGTCCACCGCATAAGCCTTGAAGGACGAAGGCATGAACTGGCACTGCTCCATGGCCCCTGCATGCGACCCTACCAATAGTCGCACTCAGAAACAACTCACCGCTTCTCCCATCTCCATCAGAGTCCACCGAGTAGGCCTTAAAAGATGATGGCATGAACTCGCACTGCCCCATCGCCCCTGCATATGACCCCAGCAACTCTACTCTCAAGGCCCCCACCTCACCTCTTCTCCCATCGCCATCGTAATCCACCACATACGCCTTGAAGGACGAAGGCATGAACTGACACTGCCCCATCGCCCCTGCATACGACCCCAGCAACAGCCGCACTCATAAGCTGCTCACCTCTCCGGCCATCTCCATCGTAGTCCACCGCATATGCCTTAAAAGACGAAGGCATGAACTGGCACTGCCCCATGGCCCCTGCATACGAACCCAGCAACCGCACCCTCCTCTCTCCCACTGTGCTTGCAGCTGTTGAAAGAGGTGCCAGGCTGGAATGCTCTGCTGTGGAGGGTCCTTGGTTGAGCTGCAGGATCGACAGCGCTTCCATCAGCTCTTCCCGAAAGAAAGCTGCACGGCGGGGCTGTATTGAGGAAAAGGAAAGGGAGAAGAAGGTGATCTGCAGGAGTGCAGTGCGGTAGAAAGCCCCTTGGTGGTGTGGTGGTGCTGCAGGATCGACAGCGCTTCCATCAGCTCTTCCCGGAAGAAAGCAGCACGGCGAGGCTGGATTGGGGATAGGGAGGGAATAATAGAAGAGAGAGAGGGGATGGTGCGGAGCGTGGTGCGCTCAAGAGCCCTAGCGAAACGAGGGAATGGGTTGGGTTGAGCTGCAGTATTATTGAAACGAGGTGACTTTTGAGTCGACTCAAAAGAACCCTAGCGAAACAAGGGAATCGGTTGGGTTGAGATGGAGGATCGACATCGCTTCCATTAGCTCTTCCCGAAAGAAGGCAGCACGGCGAGGCTGAAAGGGAAGTAAAGAGAGGAGGAACTGGTTAATGAGGGCGTGGTGGTAGGAGTGATGTGCTTTCAAGGCGGCTCAATAGGCACTGCTGGGAACACCCTTGGTGGTTCTGACGGATGGACAGGGCTTTTATCGACAGTGCGGTGCAGTGGAGGGCCCGTGAGGGGAGTGAGGAGATGGGTTGTGCCGGGTGAGGAAATGGGCGGGTTTACGCAATGTGAGGAATTGGATTTATGCAATGTGAGGAATTGGGTTTACGCAATGTTGTGATTCTATAGTGAAGAATTGATCCACACTGGCTCTCTAAACAACGTTCCAAGCTAGCGCGTAACCAGGCTCTTGTCCGCCATCATTCCATGGAGTTTGTCTCGTTGTCCTAAAACAACACGAGTTGATGGAAGTAAGGCCTCCGCAGCCCACCTGTCCGCTTTTGATGGCCCATGAGGGGATTGAGGAGATGGGCTGTGCCGGGTAAGGAAATGGGTTGTGCTGGAGGATTGCGCGGGTGAGCAGAGCCTGGATGGCGTTCCAATTGCACTAGAGCACCACATTTCACAGCCTTGCACCGCACCATACCACATCACACTCCACCGCACCCTTTTACCTTACCTCCCTCTCACCTGCTTTGTACGGTACGCGAGGGTGGGCAGAGCTTGAATGGCGTCCCACTTGCCCATGTTCTTCCCATAGCTGCCTCATCAGCAGGCACACCCCACTACACCGCACCACACCATACCGTACTATACCAGATAATAGTACCACTCTCACCTGCTTTGTACGGTACGCGAGGGTGAGCAGAGCTTGAATGGCGTCCCACTTGCCCATGTTCTTCCCATAGCTGCCACGTCAGCAGGCACAATAGGTCAACCATAAATCCATGTCGCTTTTGAGAATTCTCGGAAGAGCAACCATAAGAGTGCATGTCATGTCACCAACACACACACGCCACAAACACACTCACGCCACAAACACTCACACGCCACAAACACACACACGCCACGAACACACTCACGCCACAAACACACTCACGCCACAAACACACACACGCCACAAACACACGCACGCCACAAACACACGCACGCCACAAACGCACGCATCCTCATTATAACACCCATACGCTTTAAAATACCTGCTCTCAATGCCCCACAGCGCAGTCATCACATTGGCCGGCACGCCGTAGATCTCCTCAATCTCCGCCAGAAGCTTCCTGTGAGCTTCCATCACCTGCCTGCCCTCCAGCACCCGAGCTTCACTCACCATCCTGCATTGGACCCAGCAATCAACCAATTCATTCAAGTATAGGGAATGATGGATTTAAGATATGATATAGCCCGCAAACTTACACAAGAGAACCGCATTCGTGCACCCATCAGGTATGACAAGCAGGGAAAAGGGTTGTTTACCTTACCCTCCCCATGCGACCCACTCACTGTCCACATACTGCCGGGCAGTGAGCACCACCTCTGCTGCACCAGTCACCTTGGACACCACAGCAAGCAGCGGCTGCAACCCTTGCAACACCTCCCTCACCGTCTCTTCTCCGGACACTGGTTATACAATCAGCCATATCTCATACTCTAGCGCCTCCCTCTCCCTCTCCCTCTCCTCCAGTGCGTCCCTCACTGTCTCCTCCGATATGCCCCGCACTACTACCTCATCCCACACCCCCTGCAGCCAGTTCTCACCTGTCCGCATACTGCCGGGCAGTCAGCACCACCTCAGCTGCACCGTAACCTTAGACACCACAGCAAGCAGCGGCTGCAGCCCTTCCAGTGCCCTGTGCATGCATGTATTACTCACCACCGCATGATCTTCTTTACACTCACCTGTGCACATACTGCCGGGCAGTGAGCACCACTTCAGCTGCACCCATCACCTTAGACACCACAGCAGGCAGCGACTGCAGCCCTTCTAGTGCCTCCCTCCCTCACATCACTGTCTCCCCACACTGGTTGTTCAATCAACCTTTCCGAGTCCTCACCTGTGCACATACTGCCGGGCAGTCAGCACCACCTCAGCTGCACCAGTCACCTTGGCCACCACAGCAGGCAGCGGCTGCAACCCTTCTAGTGCCTCCCTCACTGTCTCCTCCGAAATGCCCCGTGCTACTGCCTCATCCCACACTCCCTGCAGCCATATCTCATACTCTAGCGCCTCCCTTTCCCTCTCCTTTTCTCTCTCTCTTTCCTTCTCCCTTTCCCTTTTCATTTCCTTCTCCCTCTTCCGTTCTTCCTCCCTTACCCTCCTTGCCTCGTCCCTCTCTCGTCTTCTGGATTCACTTGCACTGATCCCCGCTTGATTCCCCCCATTGACTAGATTGACTTCCTTGACTTGCCCAGATTCTCCACTCACCACTCTAACACTCTCCTTGCCTCCCTCCCATGCTCTGTGCCGGCTCATTCTTTCCTTATCAGAATCACGACTGCTGCCACTGCTACCAGCCATCCAGTTCTCTCCTCCTGTTTGCCTTCTCTTCCCACTCTTCTCCCTCCACCACCGCTGCTCAGCAGTCTCCTCCAGCTCCTGTCCATTTCTTCCCCGTCTCCAAGACACCAGCTGCACATGCTTCACTACATCACCACCACCTGCACAATCTCTCATCATATCACACAACACAACCCTTGGGCCATCCATCGCTGCACCGCGTGGCACACCTTCTTGTCTGAAATCCACCGCTCCTAACCTCGCAGCACCCTCTTCAAAATGCCACACCACTCTTTTCGCACCCACAAGAGACTTCTGTCTCGACTCAAAGGTCACAAACTGCTGCTCTCCTTGCCTCAGCCCTCCACTCCCTCCCTTCCCTCCCCTCCCTCTCAGAGCACTAGCAGCAGCATCTAGAAGAGCCAGCAGCAGCAGCATCACAGTGATTCCACCAGCCAACCAGCGGGCAGCATGGGTCATCACCCCTCCTGCTAGCTGCTTCCCTACCGTTTCCTTGAGAGCAGTGGCGCATGCTGCCAGTATCGACGCCCACCACTGCTGCAGCTGCTGCAACCCCCATCGCTTCTTCTCTCCCCCCTCCTCCTCCACCCCTTGCGGTTTTCTGTTTCCCCTCTCCTCCTCCTCTTCCATCCTTAGCCTCTTTGCCTCTTGGAAGTCTCCAGTAGGATCTGGTGGGTCCTCCATTGTAGCACCTCTGCCATTAGTTAGTCACACCACCCGCCTTGGCACCAAGCCTCCCCTCGCTATAATCCCCATCCCTTTCCCCAGCAGCTGGGCTCTCTACCCCATTACAACCACTACCGATACAACCATCACCGCACAAAACACCACCAGCAGCAACATCCGCAGTGGCATATCCTTCACCTCCCACCACCACCACAGCAGCAGCACCACCAGCAGCGTATCGCCTCCTAGCAATCTGACGAGCAAAGGCAGCACTGCCGCCAACAGAACCCACCACCAATCCCCCGCGAGCAGCAGCAGCCGCCGCCGCAGCAGCAGCTGCGGCGGCGGCAGTGGTTGCTAAGAGAGAGACGCTGACAGCAGCAGTGGCCGCTTTTCTTGAAGCCCGGATTCTCTCAGGAGTGGCAGCAGTAGCGTCTGCAAGTGTTTCAGCTCTCCACCTTAACGCCTCTTTCAACAACGCCTGGGACTGCTGTTGCAACGCCTGTGCGTGCTGCTTGAGCGTCTGCCCTTGTTCTTTCGATGCTACAGAGGGTCGAATCTGCACTCTAACCCGCTTCTGACGTGTCTTCTTTGAACCCGAACTTGATCCAACCCCTGCCGAAGCTAGGTCTGCCGAAGCTAGGTCTGCCAAAGCTACACCTGCTGAGACTTGCTGGGCTGCTCCTGTGTTGTCCTGTAACCCATCTCCAGCTGTACTCGCTGCATTGGACTGGTCAACCGAGCGTTGACTCAGTCTCCTCCTCCACCCACCAGCCTGATCTTTCAGCCCGCCTTTAACGCGTTGACCAGTGCGTTGACCCAAGTCAAAGACAGAATCTGGCAGTTGACTCAAGTCAAAGACATAAATTGGCAGTTGGCCCGATTTCTGCCCATCCTTGTGACCTGCCATGTTTGCCAGCCTGACTTTGACCCGTTGACCGGTGCGTTGACCCAAGTCAAAGACAGCATCTGGCAGCTGGCTCAGCTTTTGCCCTGCCTTGGGACCTCCCAGGTCTCCCAGCCTGCCTTTGACCCGTTGACCAGTGCGTTGACCCAAGTCAAAGACAGAATCCGGCAGCTGAGTCAGCTTCTGCCCAGCCTTTTTAGCCACCTCACCTGCAGCCTGGGTCAATACTCTAGGTGCCTCCACAGCCACGTCAGCAGCTCGTTTCAGTTTACGTGGCACCTCCTTTATGGGAGCAGCAGATTCCTTTAGTCTACTAGGCACACTACCAACCAGAGCAGCAGCTGATCTCACAGCAGCTGCAACGGCTGCTCTCTTGCTCCCAAAAACGCCACCCTTGCCAGCCTGACTCGTTTGAGTCGCACTCGTTTCAGCCTGACTCATCTCAACCATACTAGCTTCTAATATCCCTGCTGGAACCTTCTCGACTCTCTCAACCTTCTCCGCCCCTCCACGTCCCTCTCCTCTCATCTCCCTTCTCATCTTCCCCTCCTCATCCTCCCCCTCGCCCTGAACTTCACCCACCCCATCGACAATCCCTGAGCTCACACCCCCCTCCACCGCCGACGCGACAAACCGGCAGTTGCGGCCGAACGGGTGGTCACTGCTAATACGGGAATTCGAGGGAGCAACAAACGTATGCGAGAGAGGGAAAGGTGTGGCCGAGAGGAGACGTGTGTTCGCGAATGGACGGCTGCTGCTGGTGCTGCTGCCGGCGCCGCTGCTGCGAGGCTTCCTGCTGAATGCGATGCGTCGTGAAGATACCCCGGATGTGACAATAAGCGGAAGGTGGCTACTTCGGGGGTAAATCGGCCACACAGTAGCTGCTGCGGACACAGCGCCCATCACGGCGGCAATAACGGCTTCCTTAGCAACGCGTCTCTTCCTAAGAGGGGTATAAAACCGCCATGGTCATTCAAAACAATCTTTCATTGAACTTTCGAAGCTGGAAGCTTGGAAGCTCGGGCGATCTGGGTGTCGCGCAAAGATTTCTTCGTCACTCAAGGCCGAGCGTGCTGATGCGGCAGTGATGGGCAGAACCGAGGTGGGAGGGTGACGTGTGGATTGACTGGCTCGCTGAAAATTTACGGGGCTGTGCTCACAACGTCCGATATTGCAGCGCATTATAACCCAAAGTTGTCATACATCAACTAGAGATAGCAACATAGCTCACCTCAAATGCCATAGACGCTCCCCCACAACAATTGTGACAAGCGCTTGGATTGAAACTCGCACTCACTTTCAATAAAAGGTGTTCGCAAAAAATGCTACCTATCTAAGCTGTACAATACTAACCTTGATATGTGTCACTCATAAGAGTGGTGCAACTTGGTACCATGTTTATCAACTCTAAGCGGCATGCACTCTCCATACAACTTTATCCATTTTACATTACATTCCTAAACATACCGGTATGTCAACAAACGATTAGTACAGTAACAATCTAAATGAAACAGCTCCATCACTTCGATTCCCAGCACTTCCCCAGCTGCCCTTCATGGCTAAAAAAAAAAAAAAATGAATTCACTATGTTCATATCATTTCTAGATACACATTACTATTCCATTTACTTGACGGGGTAGGGCAGGTCCAGAACGTAGAGCAGGATGTATGCCCAGGCGACACCCGACAGGCCACCGAAGAAGAAGCCGCCAGCGAATGAAGCCCAGCCGTCAGCAGTCTGGAGCTTGTCAGCCTCCTTCGTGCGGCCGCTGAGGGTCAGAGTGGAGCCGGTGGAGGGAGCACCCTCCTTGAACGAGGCAATGCCGTACACGGTCAGGCACATGGACAGGATGGCGACCAGAGCAGCAGCGCCGAGGGTACCGGCGACTTGGCCAACCTCAGTGCCGCGGAGAGGACCAGTGCAGACGAAGGGGCCGACGAGGAGGTAGCCGTGAGCAAGGCCGACCTCGACACCGCGGAGGAGGGGGTTCACACCAGTGCGGTAGCCGGGGAGGTTCGACAGGAACCAGGCGACCGGGGGGGTGTCAGAGGTCCACTGGTGATCCCCGATTGATCCTAGGGAAGGGTTACAGGCATGTTGTGGCCTGAGGGGTTATGGGCGCACTGACCCGCTACTTAACAAGCCCTTTTATCCCAGTGGTCTAGTGGTTGGGATTCTGACATGGTATCCAGAGCGAAGGTCTCGGGTTCGAATCTCAGTGTGTGCACTTCGGGCATCTCAGTGCGGGGGGGTGTCAGAGGTCCACTGGTGATCCTCGATCGATCCTAGGGAAGGGTTACAGGCTCGTTGTCCTGGGGGGTTATGGGCGCACTGACCCGCTACTTAACAAGCCCTTTTATCCCAGTGGTCTAGTGGCTGGGATTCTGAGACTTCACTTCAATTCCCAGCACTTCCCCAGCTGCCCTTCACTTGAAACACATTCCGTCTGTCCAGAAGTGACTGAGGCAGCACCTCTAGCTGCGAACACCCGTCCAGATCCACCTCCCTCAGACAGGACAAACTGCCCAAGTCGTTGGGCAGGTCACGTAGACCAGTGCAACCTCGTAGCGAAAGATTGACAAGGGACGGGAGGAGGGGGAGAGTGGGGGGGACATGGTGCAGACCAGGCAGGTGCTCGAGCTTCAGAGATGCGAGGTGGGAGAGGGTGGAGATGGAATCTGGTAGGCTGGTGATGCGGGGACAGTCGAAAATGCTCAGGGATTTTAGGGAGGTCATGCGAGTGAGGGAAGGAGGAAGGCCTTGCAAGTCCTTGCATGATTTCACATGCAAGCTGAGAACCTTCAGCTGCCCGAGGTTTTCAGGCAGGTGGGTAAGTAGCGGGAGAGACTTGATGGTCAGCTGTTCGAGATTTGAGAGGTCGGGCAGGCAGGCAGGAAGAAGGGACATTTCACGGCACTCCTCTAGAACAAGTGCTTTCAGCGCTCTCAGGTCGCTCAGGTTATCTGGAAGCGAAGGCAACGTGGTATGGCTGATATTGAGGCAGGTGAGAGAGGATAGGAGCTCCAGCCTAGCTTGCCTGATGGCTACGGTGTGTCTAGGAGTAGTGATGACAGGAGGAACTTCAGGTGTGGCTACCCCCTCCCATTCGGCTGGAATCTGGTGTAAAGCCGGAGGGGCTATCAGATCCTTGAGTGATTGGAGGCCTTGAATATTTAGGCTAGTAAGGCGGCTGAGAGAAAGAAAGGACTCTGGGAGGTAGCTAACTAACCCAAAGGTGTAGGAAATGGAAACGGATGTCAGGGAGCGAGGAAGGGAGATGGGTGCAGAAAGAGGCAGGGGGTCGACCGGTCTAGTGAAGGCCCATGCGATCTGGTCGGCAAATCTTGGCTTGTTGCAGTCTGCAAGCGTGAAATCTTCCAGCCTAGGTAGCTTAGAGAGGCCCTCTGGGAGGAATTGCAAATCGCAGCAGCCAGAGATTTTCAGGCGCTGGAGCGATGGGAGAGGAATGTAGTTAACAAGATGGGCGTTGGAAGCAACAGCACCAGCAATAATATCAGCAATAAGAGCATTAGCAGCAGCTTCAGCAGCTGCATCAGAAGGACCTTCTTCAAGGGTTTGAGCAAGAGTAGGCCTGAGCGACGGAAATACCTGGAGATACTCGCAGTTCATCACCTCGAGCACTTTCAGGCTGGACAGATTTCCCATACCCAGTGGTAACCCCTTCAGCAGCTCGCATCCGTCTATTATCAGCTGCTCCAGACGGGTGAGGTGAACCAAGGACGGTGGAAATTGATAAAGTCCACATGACCCGTGTAACTCAGACTCGGAAACAACCTCTGCTTCCAAACTCCTAGGAGCATCAGTTAGAAAATCTTCAACATCAAACCCCCTCCCGCTGTAAGTACCCCTGGCACCGATCTTAAATACTTTCAAGTTCCCCAGGCCTCCAAACCCGTTAGGGAGTTTCCCAATGGCGCAGTTAAACAGCTCCAGTCTACTCAGCTGCGGCAGGTTCTCAAACCCCAGAGGCAACTCTTCAAGATAGGGCGCGCCATATATCTCCAGTACTTCCAGTGAAGCGAGGTTGGAGAAGGAGGCCGGGAGTTCACCCAGGTCGTAGCACGCATGCAGAATCAGCCCCCTCAGCTTCCCAAGCTGCCCAAAAGACTCGGGCAGATCCACGAGTTTGGAGCAAGACAGCTTCATAAAAGTCAAGTTTTGAAGCTGCCCGATGTCTTCGGGCAGCGCCCTGACAGCACAGCCGTCGAGAACGAGGCTGGTCAGGGACCCCATGGCCGAAACAGACTGCGGGAAACCCTCCAACTCCCAGCAGTCAACGATTCTCAGCTCCATCAGCCCAGAGAGGAGGCCGAGGGAATCCGGAAGAACGTTGAGCTCATCAAGAGCATAGAGGTGCAGGTACTGGAGAGTAGCAATCTGGCCGATGAATTCGGGTAGTGAGACCATGTCTAGGCAGTTGTCGACCGTGAGGCGATGGAGAGTCTGGCTGGCAGTTGCGTCAGTTGCGAGCACGTTCGAAGGTATAAGTCCTGTAGAGCGGGCAGCTGGCCGATGCTCTCAGGTAATGCTGTCAACGCCATCAGTCCAATCAGCTCTGTATCCAGATCGGGCAGTTGGTGAAGGTTTTCGGGCAACCTGGTGAGCTGCGGGCAATGGCTGAGAGAAAGGCGCGTAAGACTTGAAAGCTCGCAGATTGAATCTGGCAGCTCGACGACTTCTTCAAGATACGAAAGGCTGATGCTTTTCAAATTCTGGAGCTGTCCCAAATCACTGGGCAGATGAAAAATGTCGGAGCCGCTAAAGGAGAGGCGCTCCAAGGAGCTGAGATAGCATATGGGATCAGGTGACTCACGAAACGAAATTCCAGTATAAAGTCGCAAAACCTTAAGTCCTACCAGGCAGGCGAACTCCTCTGGTAACCCGGTAACGCCTTCGCTTAGCGTCACGCTGAGCCTCGTGAGCTGCTGCAAACAGCTGACGGCAGCCGGAATCTCCTGAACGCCATCCAGCTGGAGATCGACCAATCGCGAGCAAGATTCGAAGATGGTGGCGACATCGGACGGTGCGAGGCTGGTCGACCGTTCATGGTCTCTGCTACGGTCATGCTGCGTGGATCGCGAGAACCGTCGATCGTACAGGTACATTGTGAGATGCGTCAGCGACGAGCCACATCCGGTGCAAATGGATCGCACGAGGTTGCTATCCACGGAGTCTAACGCGAACTTGCCGAGATGCAGGTGAAGGAGATTCGGGAACCTAGATCTTGGCGGAGCGAGGAGGGAGGCGAAAGCTTGTGAGGAGAAGAAGCGATTTCGAGGCACGATGATGGCGGGATGCACGGAGCTGGCGACGCGCAGCCAACGCTTGCAGACCAGAGCGTGGCTGAACGTGACTAAGGAGCAAGTCTCGGAAGGAGTAACCGTTGTCGTGCCGAACCGCTGGCTCTCGCATGGCGGCGGCTTCTGCAATGCATCGTCAACTCTCTTCTGAAGACCGTCTTCGTTACTAGCGAGCGAATCACTGCTGTCGAGACTATTGCCGTTAGACGCAACAAAACGAAGGATCACACCCAACAGGTCGTCAGAAATACGGGAAAAGATATCACCGATCATTTTCTGCTGCGTCGCTGCAAGCGGCTGGTTTGCAGCCTGAACAAAAGGCTGCTGAGATGTTTCCGCTGGTGTTTGCTTCATGTTCTCCTCGGATGCTAGCTGAGAGGTAGGCAACACGAGAAAAATGATAATATGGAAGACTGGTAAGGTAAGGGCTTGTGAGAGTTGCTGCTGCTTGTGAATCAGAGAGTTGCTGCTGCTCGTGAATCAGGGAGGTGTTGCTGCTTGTGAATCAGGAGAGTTGCTGCTGGTTGTGAATCAGGGTTGCTGCTGCTGGGTGCTCGTGAGTGGTAGCATCAGGTTGAGCAGGTTTTGTTTGACAACCAGAGTTTGGCGGAAAAGTGGCAATGAAATTTGGCGGGAAACCAGGCTCGTCATAAGTTCGGAGGCGACCAGGTTGGCTTGGAATTTTGGTTCTGGTTGGCTTCGTATGGTTCGGAGCTGGTTTGGTCTGGTATGGTTCGGAGCTGCGGTTAGTGGTTTGGGAAGAGTGGTAAAGCGGGAGAACTTCGTACATTTCAAATTTGTGGTGTTCGTTGGGTATTCGTCTACCACCATTGAGGCAGAGCAGCTGTTTTCACCGCTTGAGACCACTCCGCAACAGACTGAACCTCCCTGTTAACGAATGCAATATGGCCGACCCCTGCGAGGCACATTTCATCGAAGCTCCCAGTCCCAGTGCTTCGGCATCGCCATCCGAAGCATGGACGTGCAGCGAAGTTCCACCCACACCCCTAGCAAGGAAACCGTGGTGTCTCAAAAAACCGACCTAGATTTTAGACTCTGGAGTGGACTATTCCGTCACGTTTTGACTGCAGTGTTGTCATGAGCTTAGCTTAGTTCTTGGAATCTGCTAAATCATCGGCCAAATGGGTACTATTGAGCTAGCGCAAGGGGAAATGCCACAGCAGCCAAGGACCCCTGGTCAGCCAGAACGCCGGCAACGAAGCACTCTCAATGATCCCTTTTCAAGTATTTCTGACGATCTGCTAGAAACCATTCTTCTCCTCGTCGCATCTAAGGGCACCAAGTTCGATAACCACGACAGTCCCAGTAACGAGCCCATCCTGCAAAACAGGATCGAGCAAGCGTTGAATGAGCACCTGCCGAACGAAAGCGGCTTATTCGGGTTACCCGAGGCTCCTGTCGCCACAGCCTCATCGCTCACTGCCTTCCGCCATGCTTTGGTCTGCAATCGATGGCTGCGCGTCGCCAGATCCGTGCATCCCGCCATCGTCGTGCCTCGAAACCGCTTTTTCTCCGCACGAACTCTCGCCTCGCTCCTTGTCTCACCCACCTTGGGATTCCCGAACCTTCGCCACCTGCACCTCGGCGAATTCGCGACGGACGTCGTAGATCGCCACCTCGTGCGATCCATCTGCGACGGATGCGGCTCATCTTTGACCCATTTCTCAATGCACCTGTACGATCGCCGACCAGTGACGTCTGGTAGTATCCGCGGGAATCAGTCGCCCAGCCTTGCACCGATTTCGGCCTCGGAAGTCACTGAGATCTTCAATTCCTGCACGCGATTGGTCAATCTGGATTTACGGCTGGGTAAAGGTGTTTGCGAGATCCCAGCTTCCATCAGCCGCTTACAGCAGCTCACGCGCCTCAGCATGAACTCCCCTTCCTCTCCCTCTCCCATCCCGGCCGCACCGTGCAGCGAGTGTCAGCAGCAGCGGTGACGCGCTTTTAGTCGGGATGACGGACGGATTCCTTCAAGTGCTCGCACAACCTCATGGACGGGGTGCGCCTCCCGGAGTACCCCGCGCAGCCGGCGGCCGTACTTAAACTCGAAGACGGCAGCCGCATACTGCTCCCTATTCTCATTCGTAAGTGTCGTGTACACGAGTTTTTGCAATCACTCTATATCGAGTCTCTGCATAGGCGCACAACCTCATGGACGGGGTGCGCCTCCCGGAGTACCCCGCGCAGCCGGCGGCCGTGCTTAAACTCGACGACGGCTCGCGCATCCTCCTCCCCATCCTCATACGTGAGAGCTGGCTTGAAACTTAACGCGATTCTCCGTATCGGGTACACCTTGTGGAAAAGCCAAGCCCCTATCATCGACTCAGTGTGTCCCCTCTATCCCCTCCCCCTTTCCCCCCCCTTTCCGTTCCTTCCCCCTCTCCTCTGCTTCTCTCCTTCCCCGCCCCCCCATCTGCAGCGCACCTCTCGAGCCAAATGCTCGTTGACTCAGTGTCTTCCCCCTCGCCCCCCCCCCCCCCCCCTTCCCTCCCTCCCTCCCTCATTTCCCCCCTCCGTTCCTTCCCCGTCCCCCATCTGCAGCGCACCTCTCGAGCCAAACGCTCGTTGACTCGGTGCGCGGCGTGCCTCTGGTGAGTTGACGGTTCCTATAGTGGCTGTAAACTGTGTGATTATATTGAATGTAGAGTTGAGAGTGGTTTGGAAAAGTTGGTGGTTTTGATTCTGGTAGGGCTTTTGGTTGAGACCTGAAAGTACTTATATCGAGACAGAGAGCTTCTGGCGATGGTTCAAGGCGTGACTGTAAAAGGAGTGTGATTAACATGCACCCAATCCTTCTGTTGCAAACCACCTGATTTTGATGAGCTCATATGGTGATTCGAAGCAGATATTTTTTTACGAGATATGGAGTCCTATTTGTTTGCAAGAACGAAACTCTTACAGTACTTCTTGTGTGCTTGTGTTGTGCTATGCTGACGTGGCAAGCTCGGCCAACGGTGTACATGCTAATGCGAGATATGATCGAGTTGATGGGATATGAGGTGAGGTGGGGTGATATTATAATGAAGTGACACTATGGGATGTTAGGTGAAATGTTTGATATATGAGCAAGAGGATGGGATGTGAAATGGTTCATTGGTACTCTGTCCGTCAAGTGCTCATTATCTAAAATTGCAACCCAATGAGTATTATCTTCTGCTTTCTAGCTTTATTAGACGGTACAGACTGATGTTTTCATGTCTGTCTGTCTGTCCGTCCGTCCTATCTCTGCCCGCAGATCAGTTTAATTCGCATCACCCACCGAGACGGGGATGCATACTGTGCCCGGGCATACCTATCCAAGGTTTGTCCCCTTTTCGCCTTACCTTGTAGCCTGGTATTTGTTTTCGCTCCCCCTCCTTTCTCCCACGCTCTCCGGTTTCCAATGCTGTATTCCGCACATTTCTGTTCTTGCACTCTTTTATTTCGCCCAATCTCTCTTCACGTCTCTTTCCAGACACGCCGCCGTTCAGAGTTGATTTGACATCCCCGCTCGTTTCGACCCTTCAACCTAACCCCCTTAACAACAGGTGTCTGCTGACAGTAGCGCAGCCAGCAGCACTGGCAGCAGCAGCGGGCCTGCAATGATGAGTCTGGACATGCGGCCATCCAAAGCTGAGTTGGATTCGTGCTCTTTCCCTCCACTCTCCCACTTAACAGGTGTCTGCTGACAGTAGCGCAGCCACGAGCAGCACAGGCAGCAGCAGCAGCGGGCCTGCTATGATGAGTTTGGACATGCGGCCATCAGATGCTATCAACCTTGCAGCACGCGCCAAGGTGGGTGGCTGTAGTAGCATTAGCAAGACGTGTGTGATTGTACCGAAGCGTGAGTGTAACAAGTCATATTGACAAAGGCAGCAACATGAATGGTAAGAACCAGAGTCAGGGAAAAATCAGGGCAGTGGTATGGGCAGGGAGTGGCGTGGCGGGAGGCAGGGGCGGGAGGCAGGGGTGGGGGGCAAGAGCGGGGAGCAGGGGTGGGAGGCAGGGGGGGACGGCAGGGGCGGGGGGCAGGGGGGGGGGGGAAACTGGGGTAGGGCGTGGGGGGGAGCAGGGGCGAGGGGGCAGGGGCGAGGGGAAGGGTAG